ATTTTTATAGTGAGTAAACGTTTGAATTTGATAACCTCAAAATACAGGACATCCACACACTCCACGGATGAGAGAGAATTCTCCACCTCGGGGCGCAGAACGCCACCGACAACAGAGATGATATAATGATATGACGAGCCTAGCTACGGTATTTTTAGATTCTGTTAACTGAGTTTAATACTGGTGAGAACGTGATTGAATTTTGAGTAACGACTCAAAGAAATTACACATGCACACTCACACATGAGAGAAATTCTCATCGCACCCAGCACAAAGGACTATATATAGAATTGCGACCCATCATAGGAATATTTTTAGGATTTTTGATTTTTATAGTGAGTAAACGTTTGAATTTTGATAACCTCAAAATACACATGCACACTCACATGAGAGAGAATTCTCCGCAACCCACAAAGAGAATATATAATGATTGACCCATATAGGTATTTTTAGGATTTTTGATTTTTATAGTGAGTAAAATGCGACACGTTTGGAATTTTGTAGATAACCTCAAATACAAGAATATGCACTAAGCGCAGATGAGATAGAATCCAGCGAGTAAGTACGGCTACAAGGGAGTTATACCGTCAGGTACTGATTCTCAAATCAGCCCATGGGGATGCGATGAACGCATCTTAGCACACACAAAACGATTCCTCAAAATATCTCGCCTTACACAACGACCGGGCCGAGGGGGGAAGAGGGTGTAAATTTAGCACAACAAAAGACAAAGCAGCAGTGCAGTGGGATATTCGGTGAATTGATTCTAATATATTAGTAATTGAGTTGATTAAATTTACAATCTCTATGATTCTGAATCGTGCGTTTGATGTTACTGTGGCGAAAATCGCGAAGAAGAAGAAGTGGAGGAGGAGGAGGAGGAAGGAAGAGGCGAGGAGGGTGGGAGGAGGAGGAGGAATGGTGACGTACGGCAGGACGGGGACATGGCAGTTCCGGGCCGGGTGCGCAGTGAGTAGTGTCGAGCCTCAGGCGCTGGGTGGGCTGGTGGGCTGGCGGTCACGGGAGGGGCCGAGCTGCCCCATGTCGTGAGTTTGTTAGGGTTTTTAACCCTGGGGTTGTCCAAATAGGAGTTTGGCTAAGATTTCCAGCGACAAAAAAATACTAGGGCAGCCAGAAAAGTTTCAATAACAGCAATTCCTAGCGCTCGACTATACACTGCTAGCAAGAAAAGTAAGACGAAATCCTAGAACAGCAATCCTATAGCGCTCAACTATAGTCAGGCCAAATCCAGGCAATCGCGATTGAAGATTGCCGAAGATGCAAGCAATACGCCACAAAACCGCATGAAAATAGCAGAAAAGCAGCAGTAACCACCCAAAAAGGGTGCATCCGTAAAACGTGGCCTATGCCATCTCAACATGGGACTTACTTAATAGTTTCGATGGAGGGTAGGAGCGGTGAGTGCCGGACCATAGAACCTTGACCAGCACAGCGAACGCGACGGCCAGCTTGCCTCCTGTGCCAAGCGGGTTCTCCGTGTTAATCTCGTTCTGGAACCTTCCCTCTGCAACGACAACACCGAAAACATCACACTCGCTGTTCACTTAGGAAGCAATCCCCGAAGTAGCGTTTTAAGGTTTGAACATGCATAGTGTTCACTCACCTAGAAAGTGATCACTGAACTAGTTTTAGCACTCGAACACACCCACTCTTCATTTAGACAGTGTGCCCGGGGGCCGTTGTCAGAAACAAAATTAGTCGCAACATTAGTCTTACCATTAACTTCCACTCGTAAACCGTTGACAGAAACCTCGTAATGTTACGAGAAAGAAAAACTCGTTGTTCACTCAGGAAGTGATCGCTGAACATTACGTTTTAAGGTTTTGAACACACGCTGTGTTTGCTCACTTAGGAAGTGATCGCGGAACATTGCGGGTCAGTTTGAACACACGTGGTGTTCGCTCACCTAGGAAGTGATCGTGAAACTCTCGTGTGTTCGACAGCGCCTGCAGCACACTGTTCATAAAGCAAGTGTTCCCTAGATTGTCGAGACCAGTTAACCTCGGCGCCACCACCGGCTCCGTCGCCTTGACGACCGGCTTGTTGATGTCCATGCACATCGGCGTCGGCTTCGGCTGGAACAATGGAGGAAAGGTGGTTTAATGTAGTGAATGGCTGTAACAATAAAGGAATAGGTTGCAACAATGTAGTGAAGGTATGTTTATATAAAGATCAGCTGTAAGAAGGAGACAAGGCAGCCAATATGTGTAACAATAGAGGGAAGATATAAATGCAGCAAATAACTGTAACAATGGAGCAAAGGTATTTCTTTATCACTGTCACCTCTAAAACTTACCTGGGTCACATTAATAAACCCTTCTAAACACTGTCACTTCCACAACACACCTTGACGCACATGCGGCCCCGGATGTTGCGCGCAGCGCGCGGTGAAGCCGCGCCCCCACAGCGGATATGCCGCCCCTTATTGTCCTCTTAGACAGATCAACAGGAATCGCTCTGAAACGCAACTCCGCGAAAACGGGGCGGAATCCAAGCGACGTTCCACGGTCAAATGAAATCAGGTGAAAATTTTAGGGCCACTTTTATACTGGCAGCAGTTAATGGAAGCTTATTGTCTAAAAATAAATAAAAAGTATAATAAGATATAATAATACAGCGTATTAAAAATAAAAGAAAATGGCTCATTTATGGTATCTATGAGTGCTGGCCATAGTCCCACGTGGGAGCGTCGCTCCCCGTGCATAATCGCTCGTGGGCCGAGTTATCCGAGAGCGGCATAACGCTCGAGTTCATTTTACACACGGCCAGACCTGGTATCCATATCTTTGGATTGCACAACGTATGTTAATCATAGCCATTAAAATGAATATAATAAAACAAAAAGTAAAGTAGCAAATATACAACACCATTATTTAACTTATGAGTCAAATTAAAAATAACCTGCATTCGAAAAAATAAGGAAAGATGTTGGCAGCATGATAGCGAAAAGTACGTCGACTGGCGTGCTTCAAAATAGGACGTTCCATATGGGAGCATAGCAGTAACAACTATACCCAATTTCAAACACGTGGGCCAAACGGTTCCCGAGTTATCGTTGACCGAAGTGAAATGTTGACGGGCGGACGGACGACGACCCATGGCAATAGCTCAGCTTGACGATGTCAAGTTGAGCTAATAAGGAAAGTTTTTGGGAACATGATAGCGAGAAGGCAGCCATACCGCTGATGGCCATTGGCAAAAAAATGGCATAGAAATTGTATAATTTAGCAATAATCACATGACAAATGGCAGTTACACAACCCAGTTACAAAAAGCTTCTATACTTAACCAATGCAGCGCCCCTCCCTACGTTGCGCAAACCGGGCGCGCCCGCCCCGTTTGGGAAACCCCCCCCCCTCACGTTTCCATCGTTGTGCCACGTTTAAATTATTTCGGCCCCCATGAAACTTATTCACTTTATTATTTTCTGGCAGTTCGTACACGTGTTAACACAAAACATGGTACTATCACCACCAGAATAATACGGAGTCGTGGAGACGCATATCATTCGACCTCGTGGAGATGTGTATCATCTGAGCTGGAGAAAACATATCATCTGAGCTATATTAATATACTATTGAAAATATACATTATTATTATTATTATTATTGAGCATTTTAGGGCCGGGAATGTGACTTACTAGTTTTTCTACTCCTGACATCGTTTCCATATTTCATAATACTAGATTTCTACCTTACCGTAAATTCCAAAGATTCTGAATGTCACACTTTCATGTGGTTTCCTATAAAAAAAATAAATATTGTTTTCAATTTCAAATTACATTCATTAAGCCCAACTAGAATGATTGTACTAGTCAGGGAATAATAATACCCCTCGATTCGAGCTGTTATGGTGCTGGTGATATGTGAGTTAACATGATATTCTCTCAATTATAAAAATGTCTTTTTCAAACTCACTATTTTTGAATCACAAAAAATATGACCAACATAAACAACATTAACTAACCATTTTTCCATCCTAATCGTGACATACATTGGGAATCAGGTTGACGATGGGTGTATGGCTTGCTGTCTGGAGTATCGCGTGGCAGATAGCTGTTTGGCAGTAGGTAGGTAGGTAGGTAGGCAGGTCTAGGCTGGCTGTCCTTGGAGTATCGCGTGGCAAGATAAGCTGTTTGGCAGTAGGTAGGTAGGTAGGTAGGCAGGTGTGGCTGGCTGTCTGGAGTATCGCGTGGCAGATAGCTGTTTGGCAGTAGGTAGGTAGGTAGGCAGTGCTGGCTGGCTGTCTGAGTATGCGGTGCAGATAGCTGTTTGGCAGTAGTAGGCAGGTCTGTGCTGGCTGTCTGGAGTATCGCGTGGCAGATAGCTGTTTGGCAGTAGGTAGGCAGGTCTGGCTGGCTGTCTGGAGTATCGCGTGGCAGATAGCTGTTTGGGCAGTAGTAGGTAGGTAGGTAGGTAGGCAGGTCTGCTGGCTGTCTGGAGTATCGGCGTGGAAGATAGCTGTTTGGCAGTAGTAGGTAGGTAGGTAGGCCAGGTCTGGCTGGCTGTCTGAGTATCGCGTGGCAGATAGCTGTTTGGCAGTAGGTAGGTAGGTAGGTAGGCAGGTCTGGCTGGCTGTCTGGAGTATCGCGTGGCAGATAGCTGTTTGGCAGTAGGTAGGTAGGTAGGTAGGTAGGCAGGTCTGGCTGGCTGTCTGGAGTATCGCGTGGCAGATAGCTGTTTGGCAGTAGGTAGGTAGGTAGGTAGGCCAGGTCTGCTGGCTGTCTGGAGTATGCGGCGTGGCAGATAGCTGTTTTGGCAGTAGGTAGGTAGGTAGGTAGGTAGGCAGGTCTGGCTGGCTGTCTGGAGTATCGCGTGGCAGATAGCTGTTTGGCAGTAGGTAGGTAGGTAGGCAGGTCTGGCTGGCTGTCTGGAGTATCGCGTGGCAGATAGCTGTTTGGCAGTAGGTAGGTAGGTAGGTAGGCAGGTCTGGCTGGCTGTCTGGAGTATCGCGTGCAGAATAGCTGTTGGCAGTAGGTAGGTAGGTAGGTAGGTAGGCAGGTGTGGCTGGCTGTCTGGAGTATCGCGTGGCAGATAGCTGTTTGCAGTAAGTTAGGTAGGTAGGCAGGTTCTGGCTGGCTGTCTGGAGTATCCGCGTGGCAGATATTGTTTGGCAGTAGTAGCGTAGGTAGGTAGGCAGGTCTGGCTGGAGCTGTCTGGAGTATCGCGTGGCAGATAGCCTGTTTGGCAGTAGGTTAGGTAGGTAGGTAGGTAGGCAGTGTGGCTGGGCTGTCTGGAGTATCGCGTGGCAGATAGCTGTTTGGCAGTAGGTAGGTAGGTAGGCAGGTCTGGCTGGCTGTCTGGAGTATCGCGTGGCAGATAGCTGTTTGGCAGTAGGTAGGTAGGTAGGTAGGCAGGTCTGGCTGGCTGTCTGGAGTATCGCGTGGCAGATAGCTGTTTGGCAGTAGGTAGGTAGGTAGGTAGGCAGGTAGGTAGGCAGGTAGGCAGCGTGGTCTGCTGTCTGGAGTTATCGCGTGGCAGATAGCTATGTTGGCAGTAGGTAGGTAGGTAGATAGGCAGGTTCGCTCGGCTGTCTGGAGTATCGCGTGGCAGATAGCTGTTTGGCAGTAGGTAGTGTAGTGGCAGTCTTGGCTGGTCTGATCTGGAGTATCGTGGTGCAGATAGCTGTTTGGCAGATAGGTAGTAGGTAGGTTAGGCAGGTCTGGCTGGCTGTCTCTGGAGTATCGCGGCTGGGCAGATAGGGCCGTTTCTCGCAGTAGGTAGGTAGGTAGGTTAGGTAGGCAGGTCTGGCTGCGCTGTCTGGAGTTATCGCGTGCAGATAGCTGTTTGGCATAGGGTAGGTAAGGTAGGCAGGGTGTGGCTGCGCTGTCCCTGGATTTCGTTCGTGGCCAGATATAAGCTGTTTGGGCAGTAGGTTAGGTAGGTAAGGTAGCAGTCTGGCTGCTGTCTGGGAGTATGCGTAGGCAGATTAGCTGTTTTGGCAGTAGGTAGGTAGGTAGGAGCGTAGGCAGTGTGGCTGCTGTCTGGGTATCGCGTGGCCAGATTTGCTGTTGTGGCCGTAGGTAGGTAGGTAGGTAGGTTAGCAGGTGGCTGGCTGTCTGGCAGTCTATCGCAGGCAGATAGCTGTTTTGGCAGTAGTGGTAGGTAGGCAGGTCTGTGCTGGCTTCTGGAGATCATCGCAGTGCAGATAGCTGCTTGGGCAGTAGGTAGGGCAGGTCTGGCTGGCTGTCTGGCAGTATCGCGTGGCAGATAGCTGTTTGGCAGTCAGGGTAGGTAGGTAGGTAGGTAGGCAGGTCGGCTGGCTGTCTGGAAATCGCGTGGCAGATAGCTTGTTTGGCGAGTAGGTCAGGTAGGTAGTAGGCAGTGTGTGGCTGGCTGTCTGGAGTATCGCCGTGGGGAGATGAGGCTGTTTGCAGTAGGTAGGCTAGGTAGGCAGGTCTGGCCTGGCTGTCATGGAGTATCGCGTGGCAGATAGCTGTGGGGGAGTAGGTAGGCAGGTCTGGCCTGGCTGTCGTGGAGGTATTGCGTGCAAGATAGCTGTTTGGCAGTAGGTAGGTAGGTAGACGTAGGTAGGCAGGGTCTTGGCTGGCTGTCTGGAGTATCGCGTGGCAGTAGCTGTTGTTGCAGTAGGTATGGTAGGTAGGTAGGCAGGTGTGGCTGGCGGTCTGGAGTAATCGCGTGGCAGATAAGCTGTTTGGCAGTAGGGTAGGTAGGTAGCAGGTCTGGCTGGCTGTCTGGCAGTATCGGCGTGCAGATAGCTGTTTGGCAGTAGTACCAGTCTGCTGGTGTCTGGAGTATCGCGTGGCGATAAGCTGTTGGCAGTAGGTTAGGTAGGTAGTGCTAGGCAGGTCTGGCTGGCTGCTCTGAGTTGCGCGTGGCAGATAGCTGTTTGCAGTAGGTAGGCAGGTTCGGCTGGCTTGCTGGCAGTATCGTCGTGGCAGATAGCTGTTGCAGTAGTAGGCTAGGTAGGTAGGTAGGCAGGTCTGGCTGTCTGACGAATGGGTGTAGGCTGGCTGTCTAGGAGTATCGGCGTGCCAGATCAGACTGTTTGGCGCAGTGTAGGTTAGGCAGGGCAGGCATATGATTGGTAGGTAGGTCCTGCCTGTACGCATGCA